CATGTCCAAAATTTTTTTTTTTTTTTTTTTTTTTTTTTTAGAGACGGTAAATACAATTACTTAATCAAGCTAATGTCTTTTTCATTTTCATACAAGTTACTTTGGAATCATTTTAAGCCTTAGTTTATAAAAAAGTTCATCCATAGAATTGAATATATATGAAGTGTTGTCAGGGTTTATTGTTGAAATGTCTCTAGCGTTTCTGTAAAAACTTAATTTTGTTCTTCCAGAAGTGCCACTAAACATCCTTGAGCTTATTTCTGCCAGCAGGCTGTTTATTCTGAACAATTTTAAGTTGTAGTGATTGTGTCCTGTTTATGCCTGAGAACACTCACTGATGTTTTGATGTCTGCTATGAGTATTCTCATTCGTGGAGAACAGAATGCATTGAATTAGTCTCAGTTCCCAGAAGAGTTTGTTTTATTTTTTAATTGCTGTCATGGTGTTCTTGAGGTTTTTCACTAGAATAAACAAGGGAACGTGAACAGGTGACATGTTGCTACATGTTTAAAGGCCCACTTCTGTGTTTTCCTTTTCTCTCTGGAGTCATTATCCAGTACAGAACTATAAACACTACACAGCAGTTCATTAACGTTCATTCTACACTGCACTTCCACATTGTCTGTTGGAATCATAAGTGATTTCTCTGTTGCCCTCTAGTGGCTCTGTACGCCATCAGCGCGGTGTACTTTGCCGGTGTGATGGTGCGTCTCATGCTGACACTCACCCCAGTGGTGTGCATGCTCTCAGCCATCGCCTTCTCCAGTGTGTTTGAGCACTACCTGGGTGATGACATGAAGCGTGAGAACCCGCCGGCTGAGGACAGCAGCGATGAGGACGACAAGAGGAATCAGGGGAACCTCTATGATAAGGTCAGTGAAGGGACAAAGGTTAGTACACCTTAGTGAATAAATTTTGCATTTTAAGCCTGCCGTAGAGTAACGTGCATGGTACCATTTAAATGCATTTTAATAATAATAATAATAATAATAATAATAAAGTTATATGATGATATGATATGATTTGTTGATATGATTCTGTAGGGTCTTAATGAAAAGTCTATAACATACTTTGGTTGAAATTTCTCAGTGGTAGTGTAAAACAACACCCTTTTTACCCTGTCAAAAACATCTCAGTTTACAGCAAGCCGTTTTGTTGCATGTTCCTTTAAATGTTAATGAGCTCTGCTCACCCCACCCCTCTCTTCCGAGCCTCTCTCTGAGAGACTCTGAACTTAAGCCGCTTCATCGTGAAACTTGCTAATTAGCACATAATTAGGAAAGGCGATTTGCAAAGATTCAATAAAAAAAATCTTATACTTCTGGAGGTGAAGCTGGATCACGAATGATTCACGCGAACATAGACGCATTTAGGTAGATCGGGAGAGCGTTCTCTTCAAAAACAAAAGTAATCCTCTGCGTCTTCAGCAGCTCTGATGTCGGGAGTAAATGATGACTGCTATGTTCATTATTACATCCAACAATAGAACACCTCAATCGCTTAGGAGACATTCTTGTCTACACCCGCTCCGGCGTCGAAACAATGGCGGATTGATGACAGCTCACTCAGGGCGGGTCTGTGTTGAAACCAAAGACTGACGCCACTGTTAATCAACAATCGTGGGAGGGGCCTGTGCAGAACTACATCATTCTGCCAAGAATCTGAACAGCTTGATATGAGAAAGGGGTTTGGATTTATCAGGAAAAAAATAAAATAAATTTTTTATCATTATAGGGTGGTTGTGTACACACACTGCCAACACACATTTCAGTTCAAACAATAAGTAAAAGTGAATTTTGCGTCCGATGACCCCTTTAAGGTCAGCTAAGAGACAAAGGTCAGGCTAAGGACCCTTTGGTGTATAAAATGTTACATTTTAAGCCTGCCGTACAATAATATGTATGGTCCTATTTAAATAATATTAATCAAGTTATTATGATGTTATATTGTTATATTATATTATTATTCAAATTTATATATACTATTTAATAAATCAATTTTTGTATTATTGCAACAACCTATGGTTGACAATTAGTTTGAGATATTATTATTATTATGTGTATATTAATAATCATAATAATTTTAAAAATATATTATAATAGTATTTTATATTAACTGATTTGAAATCAAATTAAAATAATTATCAATTATTATTGCAGCTATAACAGACCTTTTTTGAAGACCCTGTGTTGGTTTATAGTGAATATTTTGTTGTTACAGAAAAAGTAATGGGTAGCCATCACCAAAAAGAATGGTGATTAATGGGTAGCTTGTTTGTAGCTCATCTGTATTCAGTCTGATCTAATTGCTGTGTCCATGTTTATTTGCAGGCCGGCAAAGTCCGAAAGCATGTTTCGGAGCAGGACCGCCCAGAGGAGGGTTTGGGCCCTAACATCAAAAGCATCGTTACCATGTTAATGCTGATGCTCTTGATGATGTTTGCTGTGCACTGCACGTGGGTCACCAGCAACGCCTACTCCAGTCCTAGTGTAGTGCTGGCGTCATACAACCATGATGGGTAAGAGCACCTTCATGCCATCTATTTCTTGTTTAAAAGAAGAATTTTAATTTGAAAGAAGTTATGGGTTTTTCTTCATTCATTTCTAATTACCTCCAGATCGCGCAACATTCTGGATGATTTCCGTGAAGCATATTACTGGCTCAGGCAGAATACAGATGAACATGCTCGAGTCATGTCCTGGTGGGACTACGGGTATCAGATCGCAGGCATGGCCAACCGCACCACGCTGGTGGACAACAACACGTGGAATAACAGCCACATAGCACTGGTGAGGACAGATAACTCGGTCTAATTTGCTGTTATTTAGAAATGAATTGTGACTCTTTTTTAACTCCGCAAGAATTGAACTGATTTGTTTTGGTATCTTTAGCTCAGGAGTGCCATCTTGAGGACAATGAAAGATCATGTTCAGTGTTCAGTGTTCCGTTCCCTCTGCAGGTTGGTAAAGCCATGTCCTCCAATGAGAGTGCAGCCTATGAGATTATGAAGTCCTTGGATGTGGATTACGTCCTGATCATTTTTGGGGGAGTGATTGGATATTCAGGCGACGACATTAACAAATTCCTGTGGATGGTGCGCATTGCTGAGGGAGAGCACCCTAAAGATATCCGGGTCAGTGTCAGTTTATTGTGTTGCTGAATTTGTAATATGTTTTTTCCAATGAAAATAGCCAAAGAAGTTGGGATCTTTTTTTTTGTTTTTGTGGCAGTCCTATAGAGGGAATGATGTTCTCTGACAGGATTTTAGCGTTCTGATGGTGCTCTGTGCTTTAGTGTGCTGTTAGACTGTCACATTAACTCTGAGACATTGTGTGTCTAAATGAATCCTTCCTAACGCACCACTGCTACAGCAATTAATGAAGCGCTTTGTGTCTTGGACAGTTACTGTTTGGCTTCAGGTCGCCCAATACGAGAAATATTCCTGTTATTATACATCATTTACATGCTTTTATTTTTGTGATTTACTTTTTTCTGTTTTTTGAGATGTCTTTTCCCCCCCAAACTTTGCTTTTAATGAACCGAGATCATTTGATATTGACGATGTGTTCTGCTATTACATATGTCAGAGATGAGTCCTCAAACGGCCATCTTTTTGTTCTTTTGTAGGAAAGTGATTACTTCACACCGCAGGGGGAGTTTAGAGTGGATAAGGCCGGCTCTCCAACCCTGCTCAACTGTCTGATGTACAAGATGTCTTACTACCGCTTTGGGGAAATGCAAGTGAGTGTTGCTTCCCTCTTATTCATTAGGTCTATATACCAAGAGTCTTGTAATTGTGTTGTGACAACGCTGGAAAACAAGGGCTGATCTTTGAGCTATCGCTATCTCTGATAGTGTAGTAATGCACATATAGACGAAACCTTGCTGCTTGCTTAATGCCAAAACACCTTCCCCAGCTGGATTTCCGCACACCTCCTGGATTTGACCGGACACGAAACGCAGAGATCGGCAACAAGGACATCCGTCTGAAGCACCTGGAGGAGGCGTTCACCTCCGAGCACTGGCTGGTGCGCATCTACAGGGTGAAGAAGCAGGAGAACCGACAGGCTCTGGATCATAAGTTCCGCAACATCGCAGCCAAGCAGAAGTTCACCTCAAAAAAGGTTCTTCCCTCTAGATTCCATTAGATTCCATTAAAGCAGCCTTGTGAACATCTGTGATGCGTCTGTGTAAAGTTCAATCATTTTAAATGTGTTCTCGTTATGGTTCGTTTAAAGAGTTGTCGCTTAATTGGGGTATTTGTATTAAGACCATAGTAAATTGAAAATGTCAATTTTAAGGAATGTTCTTAGTTGTCTCACAATTAATTGATCATTTATTTTAATGTTAAAAGAACAAAATGCATGTTTGAGGGCTACCATGTCCATGTAGCCTTTTTAATAATATCAATAATAATAATACATATTTATATGATGATAAATATTGTTTAAACATACATGTTATCATATTTATTATGATATGAATATTCTATATTGTAAATATGTAATTAACGAATGTAAATTAATATTTTATATATATTATTATGGCTACAGTATACATTTTTTTTTACAAATATTACTTTGTATAGTGTGTCTAGGAATAAATATATTTAATATATATTTAATAAAATGTGACTATTTTAAAACATTAAGGCTTTAGTATAGTTTAATTATTTATTTATAGTTAATTTATGACCAATTTTACTCACTATTTATAGAAAATACAGATAGGACACTTTATGGACATTTTTATATTACTTTTTTTAACAGAAAATGTTTATTGTTTTTATAAAACTATTGTATATGAATGATAGTAGCCAAATGACAACTAAAACTAAATACTACAAGTATTTGAACAAAAGTTCCCTTTATTTACTAAATCTAGATTCTATTTTCACCATAGTCTATTTGAGATGTAGTACTATTGTGTCCTATGGTAAATTTTCATTATGAATGTTGACTCCTCAGATATGTTGTTTCAAATATGCGTGCTTCCTTTGGTTCACAGACAGCCAAGAGGAAGAGGGGATACATCAAAAACAAATTGGTTCTGAAAAAAGGCAAGAAACTGAACAAGAAGTCTGTTTAGCTATCGAAAGAAAACGTTGAGAATGGAAAAAAGGAAAACAAAAGACAAGGACAAATGTAACTAGTAAGTAATCCACCAATCAAAAAGAAGAACAAACATGTTGTCTGGCGCCGCCCACCTGAGAACATTTGATTGGAGGCTTTTGGTCCCGCGATTGCCATGATGACACGGAGGTTCCATGATGGGTTCGAGGACGAGGCGAGGACGGGGATCTGCACCGCGGTTTTAATCTGACAACTCTGGACTTAGTTTTGTTCTTGCGTTCTCTTTTTTTTTTTTGGTTTTTGTTTTTTGTTTTCTTTTGTACTTGAATGTGCTGATGAAGCGAGAGCGCTGTCCGTGTCTCAAAAGGCACGCACTATTTTTGTGGTACAGTTTAATATAAACCAACTGAATGCTAAAACAACGAACGAATTTCATCAAGCTCAGTGAACCTTGGAGCACCAAAGATTTTTTGTTTTGTCAGGGCCTGTAATAAATTGTTAACTTTTGATTAAAAAACGATTTAAAAATAAAAGATATGGAAAAATCGGAGGAATGCGGAGCTATCTGCAGTGCGACAGCCTCTAAAATGCTCTCTTGGTTTCAGCTGTTATCTGACAAACCCAGTTTCCTACGTGACAGAATGCAGTGGGCTCTTTGTGGCTCTGAGGTTGTTTTTTTTTTTTTCCCCTAAGGCAGTCATCGCAAAGGACTCGATTATTAGTAATGTTTAACTATTGTGGTGATTTTGAATCTAAATTATTTTGTTTGTTACATCATTTTGAATGTTTTTTTTGTTTCGTTTTTCTATTGGTTGTAAGATTTTATGCAATAATTCTAAATTCAAATGAAGAAGATCTGCTTGTATTTCCTCTGTTGCTCATGTGTTTTGTCCAGACGGGGTGCTGTGGTTTGGCATCTCCTGCGCACACATTTGCGAAAAACAGATGCTTATGGATGTTTTTCTTGGGCCAATTATAAATCTAAGTTTTCTCCCCTTCCTAAACGACTGTCTGCCAGGACAAAGAGTGAAGTGAATTAGTTGTAGGTTTATAAAATGCTGCATTACTAGCCTGAATGCACTTTGTCTTAGTTCACCTTAATGTGGATCCACTACCGAGTAGCATGCAGGTGGAGAGTGCGTATTTTTAGTGTGAATATTCCGATTTTTTATTTTACGTTGAAAAGGGCGCTTCCTGCAACATCCAGTGGGTTTTTTCCTCGGTTCTTCTGGGCTGCCATTTAAACTAACCTCTTTATTCGTTTTCTGCCTTTCTGGTTTTCATCCTTGCATATTGCTTTTGCTTCATCTGTTTTTGTAAGATAATTAGAAGGCAAATTTGATCGGTTTCCCCCCTCTTCTCCATAACATATCCATATTATTCTACTCGGAGGGCTCTGAAGCTTAGGGGATGGTATTTATTAACAAGAATGCGTTTGAAGTTGAGAAGAGAAAGCCTTTCATCCTGAAATGCAAAAACTGTATTTTTTTTTTTCTTTTTCAAGTGAAAATTTATTCCATAAATTGTCAAATTAAAAAATATAAAAAAAGAGCGAGAGAAAGGCAAAGATGCTGTTTGTGAGAATGAGTTGATGCCATTTGTGATTAAAAGACTCAATGAAAGAATCTGCCTTATCCATGTTTGCTCTCACATCTTTTTTTCCCCCCCATTTTGTCTAGGATCATGTTTCTACCGTTCATAGAAAGAGTGAAAACATCTCCAGCTTTAAGTCATTGGTGTTATTCTATAGGTGTCCTCTAGGCGGCAGCTCTAGCGCATTACATCGAGGAGCAGCTCAAGAATGCGACGTCTTTCAGAACGGCTCCGTTTCAGAAGTTTTTTTAACGAATCAGACGTGCTCTACATGTCACGTGTCTAATTCTGGGAAAGTACGTCACGACAACACTTTATGGAGCAGAAACAATTCCTTCACTAGGCACTTTTGTATTTGTAGTTCAAGCATTAAAAAAAAAAAATTCCTTCACTATTCTCAAAAATTTATATTTCTCAAAAAATTGTACTGGTAAAACATCGATAGTATAACGAAATATATGTGATTTTCATGTTTAGAATTTATTTAGTCAGAATACAATTACGTTAATACCTTTTAATGGAGAAATGTTTTTTTTTTACAACCACAGTATAATTGCGGGCAAATGATGGCATGTAAAAACGCTCAATTGGCTTTCATATAGCTGAAATCTGTGTTTATGAAATCTACTTTAATAATCTATTATGTGTGTGTGCTGATGGCCAGTGTTATGATCAAAACTCTGTTCACTGGCACAGAGACCAGTGCAGCTTTAATCCAGTGGTTCCCAACCCTGGTCCTGGAGGCACCCCAACACTGCACATTTTGCACGTCTCCTTTCTCTGACACACCAATTTCAGTCTCTACTAAAGAGCTGATGACCTGAATCAGGTGTGTTTGATTACTGGGGTGCCTCCAGGACCTGGGTTGGGAACCACTGCTTTAATACACCATTATCCGTCTCAGTCAGACGCTCGAAGGCACTCATCTTCATTCAGTCGAGACACTTTGTGCCTATTACGGAAGTTACAAAAGGAGCAAGTTATGTAACTGGTTGTGGTTCAGCTGGTTTTAAAAATATTACACGTGTCCTAGTTATGAAAACACTGAGGGGGAAGCTGATTAGTGATATCTGAATTTGTGGCTTTACTCTTACATTACCTGATTTAGATGCTCAAAATCAAGCCAGTTTAACTGACAACAGCTCTTTACTACATTAGATACATTGTAAATGGAATGCATTTCACTTTCTACTAAAGCTGTGTACATTAAGCATTTAAAGGCACAATTTTTTTTTTGTAAGAATTGTTACATAAATGATTATCTAACATAAAATGAACCATAGCTAGTGTTAAACATCAAATGGCTGTATACAACACTGGCATATATTTAACCTTATATTGTAAGAATTGTTACATAAATGATTATCTAACATAAAATGAACCATAGCTAGTGTTAAACATCAAATGGCTGTATACAACACTGGCATATATTTAACCACATGGTTACATTCAACTATTGCTCAAGAATCAAATATTTTTCTTTATGGGAAATGTGTTTCAGTAACCAACATTTGGTCTCAAACTAACTTGTCTCTTGAAAAAGCCCAATGTTGTCTACATAGGTGACCCTGTTAATTACTATATGATGTTTACATGTATATTTGGACATTTAACATTTATTTGAAAAATTACAAATAATTGAAACTAATTAGACAAAACCCAAAAATAGTCTAATCTGAATTTTTTTTTTTTTTTTGACGAAACTATTTTCAAGGACTATTTGTTGAGAGAAAACAAAAATAGGCTGTATTTTGCACCTCATTAAAACAACTAGCATTCAATACAATGTGCATTTTTTATTTGTATCGTGTGTATATGTGTGACCATGTGAGCTGAGTAACACCAACAGCATTTGATTCTGCAGAAATAGTTTTGGTTTCTGTTTAAAAAACAAAAAACAAAAAGTGTTGTGTGGTTAAAAATTAAAACGTGTGAAAAGGTCAAACTCCTGAAGTAAATCTACCTTTTAGAAACCAACTTGGATTTAATGAAAAGTGAAGTGAATAAAATGCATGCATATCACTGACCTTACTAAATCATCATGAGGGAAAAATACATTTGCACATGATTTTAAAATCTATTCCTTTAAATATCCATTTTATTCTTTCTTCAGGAAGTTCAACTGAGGCACAATACTGTCCTCATGGTAATTAAATCTAAAGGGATTTAGTCATTCAAATAAAATGGTAAGAACATGAGAGGTGAGCTCTATTGAACATGAATACATCACTGCTCTCGAATACCCAGAATGCATCAATATCTGCCTTTATGGTGTTCTAAAATAACAGTTATATAACATTTATACTCTGATACAGATGCTACATCTCTCCTGTGTGAAAAATCATTTTACTCTGTATTGATTACCAGATCAAATCTTCATTATCCAGAGGGGCTTTTAAGGTCTTTTTTTTTTTTCCTTACCACCTTCGAGTTCATTTTTTGTTTTTGGCACCTTCCATTCTCCATGAGAGGAGTTGGAGAAATGGATCAATGTCTTTTCCTGCTGCTTGAGTCCCATTGGTCGGCCAGCCCCTCGCTCACATCCGCAGGGCTGGAGGTCTGAGACGGACCCAAATCATGTGGCTCCAGCTTGACTTCATCACTTCGTCTTCCACAGAGAATTGTGGTACACCCATCCGTCCCCCTGCAGCCAATTTAAGGACAGAAACAAATAATAGACATGCTAGATCTGATACGAGAACCAATAACCTGCATGACTCTGAAGCTAATCATGAAAGACAGGACAGTGAAGGGAAATTAATAATATTTGGCCCCATTGTAAATACATTGACATGACGCATAATGTTCCATAAAATGCTAAATTGAATATATATATATATATATATACCAATGACTACAAAATTAATTTATATAGTACAGCATTTTTTATTTGATGAATACATTTGCAGTGCGTGAAAAGAACAGGCCTTTCATCAGGTTTAGATGTGACAACGACACCGGCTTATAAATAGCAACTAAAGTGTTGCATTAAAACCTACAGAGGAAAAATGTTTGTGTAAAACTTCACACACACACACACACACACACACACACACACACATATATTAGTGCTGTCAAATCGATTAATCGTGATTAATCGCATCAAAAATAAAGGTTTGTGTATACATATTATACGTATATTATATATATTATATAAATACACACACCTACATGTATATATTTAATAAATATTTACATGTACTGTATATGACGTACTTTTCCAGAGCGATTAGTCACATGACATGTAGAAATA